TGAAAAAGAAACTTCCCAAGAAACTTTTTGCATGCTCAAATAGAAAGCTGTGGATGCTCCCTTAATTATATCCAACTCGGGTATTGCAGCCCTCTCAGCTATTAACACAAATTATCCTTTCATTCCCTGATGGTGTTAGGTCCCATTATATCATGTCTACCTCAGGAGGGCTTCACATGTGTGTACACTCTGTCATGGAGCACGTCAACATTCTCTGATTCACTGGCTGTCTTATCTTCATCCTAGCTAAAACTCTACAATAGATGAGGAGGAAATAAAGGAAGAAAATTAAACAAACAAAAAGCCACCAAAACCAACAACCACTCCTTTTATTTTTAGGTCTGTTAACTCTTCTGCAAGTGTGACTGAGGCCAGTAAGTCTCTTGCTTCTGATTGCAGTGCCACCAATTTCAAAGGCACAACGAAGGTATCTAAAAGGTAAGGATTTTTTTGCTTTTCTTAAGAAATAATTCTTTTACATACCAAGAAACTATATCTTGATATCAATCTAGATTTAATAGATCTTCATGATTTGCCACTAAATTTGGTAGCGGGGATGTGAACCAGTGCATCTTCTGCTTTGATTGTGGGTATTAACTTATGTTCTCCTGGAGGTACAGGATTTGATGTCATAATTAAGCCAGTTTAAAAACACCCCAGCCCCCCAAAAAAAGAACCAAACCCCCCCCAAATTTAGAATAAATTCTATTCTTACCTACTGTTGTTTAAAGATATAGTTTACACCTTAACGAAGAGCCCAAGCTCTCTCTCTCAAAAAAAACCCCAAACAAACCAACCTCCCCAAATAAATTGACAGTTGCTTCTTTGCATATTGAACAGTTAAGGTTTTCAATTACTATCATTCTCCAAACACTACAGAGTTTGGTTTTGGCAGAAGTCATCAGCTGAAGTGAGGAAATTAAAAACTTAATAACTTAAATAGGTCATGAAACCAGCAAGTAAGTGGCTTAGTTTCACCTTGGCCTGCTATAAATTTCAGAGGCTTGTTTCCATGCAGAATATACCCAGATCTTTCATGAAGGGGAATAAGAACCATGTAGTTCTTAACCAACCTTCATAAGTACCATGAAGGAAGCTCAAGAATTTTGTATGGTATAAGGCATGCCCTCTACCTCTGACAGCTAGCAGCTTTGGTATTTCTTGATATCTCCCTCTATTAGACAGATACAGCACACATCTGATCTTAAGCCCTGAGGCATGAAGTTTCCTCTTTCCAAACCTATAAGCATTTACTGTTGATATGGGAGAGTGGATATTCTTGTTATTGAGTGGTCCAAATGTCACCTTGCTCACTGGCCTGTAAGACAGGCTTAGGAGGTTCCTGCAGTGTTTCAGGGTCATAAAATGTTCCCCAGTGGTGCTGGTACATGCTGCTGATGGTTGGATTTCCTGTAGTCTTCTGGCAGAACTGGAAAAATTTTAACATGACTGCCTTTCTGTTAGGTATGTTTGCTACTACTTGCATTTACTTCATGCTTGAAGACTTCCTGCAGAGCATAGGAAATTAACCTCAGAGCACCATTTCTATTGTATTATAGTGTTGGACTACAACAGACTGTCTCAAGAACTGTACCTACCAGTGGAAGAGTTCAAGGCATGTTACTAAGAAGTAAATCAGTACCCCAGGATAAAACTGTTCCGTTTGTAAACATTCCCCTGGCTGATGGACAGGTATCAAACTTTTTTTTTAAAAAAAACCCCCAACATTTTCATCTTACAGTAGTTGGTAAACTGTGAATAGCATGATAGTGATAGCTCTTGCCATCTGTAAATGAGTTGCTGCTAAACAAAAGGAAAAACGGTTACTGACACTTTTCAGTGTAGCACATGATTTTCAAAAAAGCTGGCCATGTAGTTTTTATCTTAACACTGTTTCTCTTCATGTTTAGACACTCTGTACAGCTGGTGGAGACCTCCATAATATTGATGTGCAACTACTAAATCAAGATACAGTACAGCATATTCATAACTTAGTGGTAAGCTTAAACTAGTAGTCTTACATAAAAGTATTCATATACCTAGTTTCGGGTTTTTGTATGATACTGTCATGGATGCAAATTCTAAGTGCTTTAACTCAGATTCTAAGGTTAAGCCTGACTTGGTTGGGATAAATTGAAGGGAAGAACAGGAAGGGGAGAACTGCTGTACACAGATAATGTGTAAAAGTAAATGCACTTAAATAAGTATCTGTGGTCTGGTAATTGTCTGGGGGGACAACAGAAGCAATATAAACTCTTCCTTCTAGACTGCTCTGGTGTCTCTCTTGCCATGTGAGCAAAACACCATTCTCTGTTTCATATTTACAAAGGTACACAAAGCTATGGCTAAGTTTTGCTTCTTGTTATAATCTCTCTTTATTATTCTGTATCCCTTGCTGAGTAAGAACTGTACTCCTGTTAAATCTCTGCTACAATTGACTAGTAACTGCCTTACCTTTGGTTCTGGAAATTAAATTGTTTTGAAGCAGAATGAGGCTGAACAGAACTTTATAGCCTGACTCTTCTGAAGATTTTGGATTAAGTCATGTGCAGCACTAGAAATCTATCTAGACACAAGAAATATTAATCAGTTTACAGTCTTGCAGGTATTTAGACTCGAGTTAAGCTAAAGGTCTGGAAGCTGTTCTGCATTTTGTAACATGGACCTGCCTCTGTAGGTAGAGAATGGGGGGAGTGCTTGCTTATTGCTTGCTTTTATCTTTTGTCTTTGAAATTCTGTTGAGTAGCTTCAACTAAAATGAATTTTTCCCCCCCTTAGAGTGAGCTGACTGTACTATGTGGAAAAGCAACAGCTAAACCAAGCTAATGGAACTGTCTTGTGACTACAGAATTTTCATGACAGCTCTTTCTTGCTGCCACTGAAGAGTTTAGAGAATGTCTATAATGTCTTAATAAAGCTGTATACTGCCCAGTAAATGTTTTTATATAAAAGCTTACAATGTGATGTGTATCATTAAATTCCTGTTATCTCTGTGAATGATACAAAAGCAGAAGAAAATAATTCTCCTTTTCCACCTTCTTTGTAAAAGGCTTAGTTAAATCTAATCTCTGTTCACAGTAAAACAGTGAGATGTTGTATGTAGGAAACAAGTTTAACTCTCCTATTCTAAATAGGACTCTGCTATTTTACATAACTGTTCCTAAGTATAAAGCTCTTTACTGTCATTCTTCCATGCATGCCACAAGCAGAATATAGTGTTGGTTTGCTAGTCATGTTCAGTCTTCAGTATCAATCTCCCTGAATGTAACTCTGGAATTAATCTGAAATGCAAGTTTCTAAACTTTAAGGCATATAATTTTAGTTCTGTGGTGGCATATATGAATAAAACTTAGTTCCAGCCTTGTGCTGTGACACTACAGTAATGTGCAAGATGACAGACTTAGCGTAACTTGGGGTGTCAGCCTAATTTTTCTAACACTTACCTATTTTTTTAGGAAAGGCTTTTAAGATTTTTCCAGGTAAAGATGCCTGTCCAGCAGTCTCTCTGCTTTGGGCGCTCTAGTAGTTTCAGAACTTGAGGAGGCACTTGGCTTTTATGCTGCCAGTGGTGATTTCAGTGTGTTAAAGGATGGTATGAGATTTATGCACTTAAACTAGATTAGTTTTTCTTCTGTTCTGCTTCCACCCTTGTTTAAAGAAAGAAAGGTCCAAAGTTTCAAATATGGAAAAAGAGAAAGCTTTCCAAGGCATGGGAGACAAAACTGGTAAAGAAGATGAAGTTAAAACACTCTCAAACTGTGGTTAAAACTATGCTCTTGCTTAGTAACCAGAAAATACAGGAATAAATTCAGCTTATACATGAAGTTTACAGAATATTCGTGAGTAGTTAGTTCTGTAACTCAGTACTTTAACCTGAATTAATATCCCTTTTCCCTTAAAGTGATAAGACCTTCACATCAATGTAGTATCAGCTTTTGATTATTGCAGGCAAATGGACATTTCAACTCCTATACTATGGTAACCCAGTTTGCAATCCAGCACTGCAACATGCAGCTTTGTGAATTTTTGGAAAGGTTACAGTGTTAGGTACACTTTGCCAACACCTTTCTTGTGGATCTCACTCAGGGTCGTATTACAAAAATAGCTGCTAATGTTTACTTGTTAAAGTATTTTCTGAGTTGCAATTTAGAGATTAGCTTTTTTTATGACTAAAAGGCTACTACAAACAGCTGGGAAAGCAGTTCTGGGCCCAGACACAAAGGGCAAATTCATAGGATGTCGACTGTAGTGATGCACAAGGACTCTTCAATGAACTGAAGTCATTCTTATGAGTTGTCACCAAGCTAGGAAGCCTCCAGAACTCCATTTATATCTACAATGTTCCTTTTAGATTTGGTGAGGTATACAATTAAATGCCCTGCACCTCCTTTACAGTGATGCATCAACCCATTAAGTAGGGGTTAATAACTAAAATACAGTTTTCCTACTACATCCTATTTAGAGGGATGAGAAATTGCTGAATATGAACAGAGTCTTTGACATGTTTCATTTTTTCCAAACAGCAGTAATCTTTCTTCCACTCATTACCTCTAACTTATATGCAAACCTATTTTTCAACTGAACACAGCCTCATCTTTTATGTGATTAAAAACCACACCACTGTATGTATCTTACAAATAAATAGTCACTATGAACACTGTGACAAATTAAATGCACTCAAGAGGACAGATAAGACTTTCTATGAGAGTCAACTTCAGGTCAGTTTCAGTCACTGTATATGCAGAAATAGATATGTCACAAAAACTAGACAACACTTCTGAAGCTTTTTTTTTTTCAGCTTCTTGAGGCCAATATTAAAGATATTTTTAAAAATCAACTAAAAAAATGGTTCTAATACAGTTCTGGTGATCACATTTTCTTCCTCCCCCAACATGCAGAATACTCATTTGTTTATAGTACCACCTCTAACTTCACTACTTAAGTTGCAGCTGTTTATGACTGAAACCACTCCAACTCATGTTTATTTGATTATTCATAGGACAGTCACATTGGCCCACTTAAAGCAGCAATAGCTATGTTCAGCGTTAAACTTCATCAGCAAACTACTAAAGCATTAGTAACTGCAGTAATATAGTACTTGCAACTTAAATATTGAAACCAAGACAGCATGGTTGGTGAATTTGTGTGAAGTTTTACTACAGCTTTGTAAAGGGATGCCCTGGTAGTAGAGCAGGAGATACATACAATAAGGGCAGCTCTGAAGAAGTCACCACTCACTGAAAGATGCTGCTGTCAGGACATTAATGGAATCTCAGGACTGAAACAGGAATAGATTAACTCACACTACATACTGTCATCAACTTCCCCTCCAGCCCTTCACTTCAGCATGCTATTCATGAATCCCTTCCTCTGTCCACACCCCCCCAAAAAACCCCCACAAATTTGAAAGTAAGGAGATAAAAAGTTCAAAGTACATACTTTCTTTTCCAAGGAGGTAAATCCTAAAGCTACTACTTAAAAGCAGACAGGCAATTTCATTGTTTAAGCATTACAGGTGAAGATGACTGACTTGGAGAAGTGAATCATGAAAAAGGCTTCATGAAAAGCAACCTGAAGTTTTAATAAATGAAAACGAAGATTTACTAGATGATAATGCCACAGCACAAGAAGTCAATAGTGAAATACAGGTTAAACTATTTATTCTTGCTTCAATTTCAGAGTCTATAATAAGGATATTCAGCAACACTCAAGTGCCTATGCCTATCCAAGCACATGGAAACCCTTGGAGCTTGTCTCTCCAACCTCAACTATCTGAGCAATAGTTAAATAAGTAACACTTTAGATTTGTAAAGAGAAGTAGAGGCATCTTTTAACTTCCTCGCTTCAACACAGAGAGAAACTTCACTACTGAGCAGCAGCTTACCAACTAAAATTCACACACAGATCCTTAACATTATAAAAAAACCACTTAGATATCTAACTGTACCTGATGACTATTTAAGGTCAGATTTTTGTTTTGTTGTGGAATTTTTACCAATTAAAAGCATATTAAAAAAAGAATAGAACTGAAGCTAGAGAACTTAATGTCTTAATAGTTAAAATGGTAAAAAATTTTTGTCAAGTACAATACTAATCTCAATCTCTTTACTAACTGTGTTAATGCAACCACAAGTTGCCAGGCAAAATGTTCATTTTTACAAAGATTTTTTAAAACTGGAAACATTTCTCTAGGAAGTCAGGCTGAATCAGGCTCTGAATTGTATTAGAAGCATAAAAGAAAGATGCCATTATTTTGGGATTTAATCATCTTCATTTAAAAGGCTTTGTTACCTTCTGATTGGACTCAGATATCCTTTCTTCATACAAAGGGGAAAGGACTGCAGCCTTCCCCATGGCCATTTAGTCATATCTCATTTCAAGAAATGACTTCTGCGTGTGGCACACTATTGTTATCTGACTGCAACCTAGTCTTAAAGCAGCTTCAGCATCCCTGTGTTTATAAAATGTCTACCATCTACATAGTCTCTTCATACACAGAATAGTTAAAGCCACTGGAAAAGCAAGATTTGCAAGGCAAAAGAAATATATTATACACCAACTGCTTTTATTTAATCTCAGAAACCGTTCACAAGATGGTAGAAAAAACTTACAACCACTTCTAGTTTAGTCTTCCATTGTTCCCAGTCAGCTCTAAACCCATTATGTGCAAAGCCCATTTACCATGCATCTAGATGATAGATACAGGCTATGAAATTCTTTATTCTACTTGTAGCAGCTTATGCAGGTGCAGCCAAATACCAAGCCTCAGGACAAATTGTACACAAACTTTACAATGTAGAATTTGAATTTAAAATATGAAACTTAAAATCTACACAAAACTGGTAAAAATCAAGCACAGATACGAGGACAAACTTAAAACCCATGTGAAAAGGAGTCTCGTCTTCCTTTCAAGTGCTTTATTCTGCTACACAGTCAAAATGAAGATGTAAGCTTGTGGTTAGTTTAAATTACACTCTGTAGATACTATAGACCAATTTAAAAGTTACACATACAGCAATAGATGTCCATTGGTTCATCTGGATTACTTATACAATCCAGCTGGATTGTTGAAAACAAGTCAGGCAAAATTTGAAAGAAAATCCTTGTGCAACTTTTTAGACAAACAATTACTGATGGGCACACTGTACCCCAGGTCCATGATGGCTGCTTTCTTCATCAGAACTATCGTTATAAGCTTCACGTCTCTGGCCACCACCTGAACCACGAGTGGTATCAAATTCCTGAAGATCTACCTCTTCTGCATCACCAATTACATTGGGAAATTCTGGTCTAGCTGGCAGAAGATCTTCAAGTTCCTGTCCCAAAAAAAAGAAGTGTATTCAGTACTGCATCTACAACTGCTGAATAAAGTGACCAGTTTGCCACAGCTTCAAGACTCCCCCTCAGAGCAGGTTTGGTTTAGAAGTCTAAGCCAATGCAAACCCTGAAGTGCATGTTCTTTTAAAAGTATCCAGAGTATTTATATCAACTGGAAGATGCCACTCAAAGAAAACCAACAGCTCCACATATCATCAACCAAAAGTACAATCAGTAAATACAGTTGCACTCTGAAAACTTATCACACAGCAGCAGGAACATTTTTCCTCTTGCCCACGTCTGCCCAACATCTGCACAACTCTTAAATACAGGTTCCATAAACTCATATTCCAATGGATATTTTCAAGTTATATATTGCCCATAAACAACATTAAAAGAACAACTGCACTTGCATCTAAATGTAAGGACTGAAACTGAGCACACAAGGTACACCACACACATACTTGCATACACTGTCAATAAGACCACCACATTTATGCCTGAAAAACTACTTACTGAAAGCTTTTCTGAGCTAATCCAGTTATTTTCAGGAAACTGAACATCAAATTTAATGTAAAGATCTCCCTTCTCAAATGGATTGCGATACTGTGGCATTCCTTCACCTCTGACTACACGAACACAACCTGTAATTCAAAAAGAAGTAAGCTGGAGGGTGCTACTTCAGAATAAATCTATCTTTATACAATTCTCTTCATTTCTATAGCCTAGGTTCAGTTAACAGGACAACAAGAATGAGATTAGGTGTTTGAGAATCACAAAAGCAGTCAAAGAAGTCCTTAGCAGGTCAAGCTAAGGTACCTGGTTCAATTACTTTTCCAGGAGGATATTTAACCACTATTTGGCGTCCATCAAGGTGCTTAAATGTGAACTGAAATCCACACAGTGCTTCAACAAGTCCAATCTTGTGCGTCATATGCAAGTCATTCCCATCCCGCTGGAACATCTGAAAAACAGAAACAGGAGATACCTTTTCTAGTCCTATAATCATACCTCTGCAAGACTCACTATTCAGAATTCATTATTATTTATTCTTAAAATTCAATGTCAGAGCATCAGCCTTTGTATGAAGTTAACTCAATTCTGTTAATTCAAATAGTTTACCATGCTTGGAAAGCTTGTGCCCGATAGAACTGTCATCTAAGGTAAGGCAAACCACACTATATACGACGATGTAAGGTTCAAATTAAACAAGAAGGCCTTTATAGCAGCAATACTCTCTTACCCACAAGATCATTTGCACATGCAACCTGTAAACAAAACTTAGGACAGCTTGACACTACTTCCCCTGCACCAGAGTATAAACCACACATCTTTGTTTCTGAACATGTAACAAGTCATCATGCATATCTGCTTCAGCTAACTTTATCTGCAGCAGGGCTTTGATCAATTAGTCCACAGCTGTCATGAGTGATCTTTAAGCCGTATCACTCAGGATTCTTAATGAGAGTAAACGTGAGCTTTAGCCACTGGCAGAACCATGACTCCTACCTCAAGGAAAGTTTTAAGAACACTAAAAGCTTCACTCAGAGTCAGTCTAGTTTTACTCACTAGGACACAAGGTACAGTATTTTTCAGAATTGTTAATACTGTAAAACTAGATGTAGTTCATTAGAAGACTAAGATAGAAGTGGCATCCACCAGCTGGAATTTAGTGCTGTCATGCACATCTGACTGTTCCGTATGCTTACAGACTGTTTCCCCCTTATCATAGTCCAAACCAACTGGGATGCCACATTTCAACCAGTATTGCAGAAAAAAAAGAAGAGAAGAATGTGTAAAGGTCTATGCAAAACTGAATGGCAAATTAGCAGTCCTTGACACAGCTTTGAAGAGTTTACAAAGTACCTAATTTTCAGATAACCAACATTATATCCTTAACATGTGACTGGAATTTAGATTTGTACCCAATGCTATTCTTTGTGTCGCAACAGAACTTCCACCACCACCATTCAACCTTTTTTACCCAGAGTATAACACAAACTGTTTCTTATTTCATCATAGTAATACCTGGCCTTTCCAAACAAAAACATTCAAAAAAAGCAGTAAACTCAACTCTGCCTTAACAGAGTTTTAACACAGAAAAAGAGAAATTGCAGTATTTAATTCAAAAGTGCAATGTACATATTCCAGCACTGAGTTAAGCACAAGCCTTAACAAACTAGTATAAAATAACTGTGTGTTTGTTTTGTTAAATGAATCTAACATCAGCATTCTGTGTTATATTTCCACAACCACAGTAGCAGAGATAGAAAGCACTGGGGATTTTAAAGAACCTGAGGATTTTAATAGGAGTTCCCTGCCATGTCACAAGACATTGAAAAAAAAAAAAAAAGCAACACCGAGCATTTTATTAGCATCACAAGCAAAGCAGAATGAAGTCAACAACCTGAATGGCTCTTCACTGTGTACACTATATCAGAGTCAGCCTGAGCTTACCTGAGAATACTACCTTTTATTAGCATTAGGAAGCACCAGAACCTGAATGTCCACTGGATAGACTTGCAAAGTGTTTTCTGTCTCACCACCGAAGCCATGTTACTTGCTATAAATCTGTTAAAAGCTATTCACCATCTCTCCCATAGCTGCAACTATATGAATTACTTTAAAATGAACAGCCACCTATATCACTTAAATATTAAAGACTAGGATAAAAAGCATTTAAAATATGAACTCAAAAGCATTACCTCATTCTCCTTTTCTTGGAGTAAGAGGACAATATCACCTGGTTCCACACCTGGAGCCTGATCTGCTTCTCCACTGAATGTAATTCTTTGCCCATGTTTCATGCCTTTGTCTACATGGACTTCAAGTATTTTTACTTCTTTGATCACCTTCTTTCCTTCACATTTTTTACAGCGGTCTTTTTCATTAATTACTTCACCTAAAGAAAGACAAATTTGGAGTTCAGTTTTCCATGTAATTGTATCTGATTCTGAAGAAAAACTATATTTAAGTAGGCTAAAGAATACATGCAACACAACTAGTGATTTAGACGTTGCTTTATGAATTTCTCACAGGAGGAAAGCCAGGCTCAATCTTCCCTGGCTGGAAGAGCAGAGAAAAAAGAAAATGGAGGGAGGAGAAATACAAAGATACACATAACCTTCCAAGCTGTCTTATCAAGGATTTTGAAAAGTGAGAGTGCTCCAGAGAAAGGCCAAACAAGACTGTGTCTACCTGAAGTCTTAATTCAGCTCCAATGTCCTTACCACTCAACTTACTACTCTTAAAAAGAAGCAGCCTACTTTTCCATTCCTTGTTACACTGGAGGATGAGAGCTATATGAGAAAGGACAAAGCTAAAACCAAACTGAAGCATCTCCCCTCCTTAAAAGTCATAATACAAATTTCAATCTATTCCAATATATTTAGGAAGCTTAATTCCACTTCTGTTAACAACATCAAAAAAAGGATTACTGGGTTCTGTTCATTGACAGACATGTTTTGCAGTATAACACCACAACAAAGTACTATGTAAATGCAGCCAGTAGAACTAGAGTGTCTTGCATACAAAACGGGGGAAGATAGCTGGTCAAATCAGTTTCATGGAAGAGCAATATACAGGTTTTCCCACGGAAAAGATCTAACATTTTCTGACACATAAGGGATTTTTCACTTTTACAGTCTGAAACTGAGTAGTTATTCACACTGTCCCTCACCTCTAGCAAGCAAATTACTTTTTCCAGCAAACTGAAGGATGACTATCCAAACCAGCTCAAATTCTGTGTTCCACTTCATCTTTATTTTTGAAGTAAGGTACTGTCTTTGTACAGAGTAACCAAAATATTAGGCCACAGGCAACGTACAGTTTCAGTACTTCTTTCCAATACCACTCTAAGTGCCACAAGCAGAAGCCTTTGGCTTAAGACATTAAACTTGCCAGCTTAAACTACCTTTCTGTGAAACAAAGCATGACATTATGATGCAGTTGAAACTATTAAACATGTAGGTTAGGTATATAAACTGTTAAAACAAGATATTCAAAGACAACACCATTTATGAAATGTTTTGACTAGTCACAAAATACAACTCTTGTTTCTGAGTACTGTGAAGAATAAAATAATCTGCAAGATGATGTTACTACTCTGCAAACTGCAGCATATTTAAGAAGGAATCACATGAAGTGCAGATCATGTGCTGAACTTGTTCCCCCCCAAACACAACCAATCCAGCAAAAGGTTATCTTCTTAATTTGAAGAAGTTAAAGACCAACTTTAGATTTCCATTTATGACCTAAACCTGTCCTTGGAGACTGCAAAGAGACAAAAAGCTCCTAAACCAACAAAATCTTGTTTTTTTTCTTTAACACAAGAGTAATAGCAATAAGAAACATTTGCATTTAAGTGTTTTTAAAAACAATCAATCCCTGCTGTTCAAGCTTTCAAGCTGCTTTTCAGTCCATTAAACACTATAAATCTTGTTATTCCACATAAAATTATTTCTCTATGTTGAAACCCAACTGACTAGACAGGAGCAAAACTGTCCTGGTTAAGTTCTTCCTGAGATTTAACCAGGAAATTGAATTCAACTAAATGCATGTAGTAACATAGAATAGTTTGGCCTACCTTCTCCATTGCAGTCAGAGCATACAGACTGCATCTGATGAACCATTCCAGGAGCCAGCTGTCTGAACATGATACGTAGACCTCTACCCCGGCAAGCATTACATTTCTGAACAGCTCCAGCCTTCCCTCCCTGCCTAGAATAGAAAGCATAAGTTGCATGAAAAGCAAGTTTTCAGAAACATGCAACAAAACCCCCCTACATCAGTAGGTTAACATGCCTAATTGCACTGCCAATTACAATTAAGTCCTCTCTTCCCTCCTTCCCCCAAAATGAAGGGAATGAATAGTTCCAGTTCCATCAAAAGTATCATTCAAGCTCAACAATTTTCTAGTCTGAGAGCAGGCTCCAGTAAGTCAAATACTGATAAAGATCTGACATAGGAGATGCTTCGTTACACTATATGGCAACAAAGCAACCAGAGAACTCAAAAATATAAACAAACTTACCCATTACATGCACTACAAAGGACATTCTTGCTAAGTTGTAGTTTAGTTGTCTTTCCATTGTACAGATCTTCTAAAGAGACTCTACAAAATAAAGCATTTCTCCTAGGTTATCATTTAACAACTTACTTTCCCCATGTAATTAAAATACTTGCCCAGGACAAATTAAAGAAAACCAGAACTTCATAAAAAGAGTAAATCTGCTATTAAAATAACATTTTGAAGCACTATTTTAGCCTTCATAAGGAGTTATTAAAAACTTTTCCATATGTATGGATATACACATGTAACATGTTCAGAAAAAAGATGCAATTTAATCAGAAGAAACCAGATAGGACTGTTTGTGTTTCTCAGTAAGCTGAGAAACACAAGCTGATCTAGCATTTTAGGTTTTATTATATCGTCATAATTGATTTTTTTTTCCCCCCAGTTCTTCCAGGCAGGTGGGAAACAAACCTCTCTAGACAGTCCTGACATTTGTAGCATGCATACATAAGAACACATACAGAACACTTACCGCTGTGCTGGGCTTTCCACATGGGACAGTTTAGTGGGAAGGGGTTAGCATGTCCCCAAGGCCACTTAATTCTTTAGATTTGTTCGTGTTTCAGGTTTTTTTTAGAAGCTCTTGAATACACCACCAACTGCCAATAACCTTCATATATTGCCAGATGTTTATGAAAATATTAACTGTTTCTCCTAAAAGGGTTTGTTAGTGGGTAGAAAATTCAACTCAATGTATTGAGAAGAGGTTGCCTGGCATCAGCGTTTACACACAACAACAACACCAAAGCTAATTAATAATATAGCGTCCAGTAGTAGCTACTCAAATAAGCAAGCATGTAGAAGTAAACAGACTTTACTGAGCACTGTTTGCCAACTGCAGGAAAGATGAAGCTTAACTTAAAAACTTAGAAAGGACCTGTTCAGGAGGCAAAAAAGCCAATCATGACTGCAAGCAGAGATCTACAAAACACAATTAAAGGCAATATTCAAGCATGGCTTAAAAAAACCAAACCAAAACAAACCCAAAACAACCAACAAAACACAAAACCAAACCTGGCACACACACTTTTCCATCAATTATGTAGTTCACCTTCAATTCCAGCTGGCATTATACTATGAATGCAAGTCAACTCATATCTTTCCAGAGCCCTAGTACCTCTGCTTCCCTAAGAATCTAGCTAATGCATAGTACTTGGATGTTGAATGCTTTTTCAGATTAGAACTTCCAAACTTAATTAAGGACCAAAATAAAGGAAAACAACACTAAAAAAAACTATATGCAGGCTAATAACCAGGCAAAACAAAGTATTAAGTAGTCTGTAAGATTAACCAATCATGGAAAGTAACTTAAGATGGCTGCCTCTGGGCTACACACAACACACAGTTCTGAAAAGTAGGTGCAGACTGCAGAATATCCCAACTGAGAAGCACTGCTAGGATATAAACTAGCAGAGTCAAGTACTGATCAGGAAAACTTGAAAGTACAAATTGTAGTATCAAGATACTCACTTGAGTGGATGCATCATGTCTTCTCCTCTTCTTCTACCATTACGACTTCTACTCTGACCACCCATGAAATTGAACAATCCACCACCAAAGATATGGGAGAAAATATCGTCCATTCCACTGCTTCCACCGCTACCTTCTCGAAGACCCTGTTCTCCATATCTATCATATAACTCACGTTTCTCTGGATTTGACAATACTTCATAGGCAAAGCTTATTTCTTTGAACTAGAAGAGGAAGAGTCAAAACAACGTGTGATAATTTAGAACTTAAAGGGAGCATGTACTACTGTTTCTTGCCCAGCATGAACACACAATTAAGAAGGTACACAACAAAACAGTTTTCCATCCTTATATGCAAGACTTAAAAGTCAGACTTGGGCTTAGTTGTGTTACCTCTTATCATAAAATAAGACATTTTTTTGCAAATTTTTGTTGACTTTTTTTCTTTATTGTGCCTAGCATAAGACAGTTTTCTTCCAAACAAGAAAAAAATCCAACCAAAAAAGAAAATCCCCAAGTACACAATATTGCAGTAGCCAGCAGACATAAAAAAACCCCAGTAACATACCAATGCCAAAGACTTAAAGACTTGTTAGGCACTTAAAATACACTAACTAGTGAGCAACTCACTAAAATGCACATTAATGTGTTTGTCCTCAAACCAAATTAATATAATTTCATAGTCATCTCTGCTCACCTCTAAGCAACCATTAGAACTCCAGTTCTGCTAAAGACAAATCAGCTGAATCAATTTAATTGACATTTTTTAAATTGCTATTAGCATAACAAATCTAATTCAATCTTCCCACATAGGTAATTTGGTTTATGCTGCAGCAGTTTCAAGAACCTCAACACATACATTTTTTTCCATGTTAGAAAAACTTGGAAAACTGACTATCTTTTTGAAATACCTATATAGATGCCAATGCCAGCTGACATCTCAGCAGATGAAGAAATGCACTTTTCCCCTCAGCATTACCTTCTCAAGCAATTTGACTCAGCCAACTGCTGCATTTTTTCACAAGGTATGCTGGTAGATTCTGAGACTGGGAAGAAGTCCACAAGACAAGGTTCCCTCTCACAGATATTATTTTTTAATAACTTGTAACAGCAAGCCCCCAACACCCGTATTTGATCCCTTAGACGGTATCTAATAGTAAACTTCAGGAGTTAAAAAAAAAAATAATCCAGTCTTACTTTGTCCCCTGCATTTGGATTCTTATCAGGATGGTATTCCTTGGCCAGCTTTCTGTATGCCTAGTTGAAAGAGGCACAAAATTAGTTTAAGTTTTGATTCATCAGTTCTTTTCTGAGAAACTCAAGTAGTGTCTTCAGGAAGAAAGAAAACTCTAATAAAGCAAAGTGAGAACATGAGTGTTTTGAAATAGCTCATACGTTGAACGGTGTATAAAAAGTTCTGCCATTGCCATGTGCATAAATTAACTATACTTGGATTTAAACACAACTGTAGCACACAATAGCTAGAACTAGTTTTCCTGCTTATCTTCATTAACTTGATTGAAGAATCACATTGGACTTTCATTAAAATTGCTTACTCTACAGAACCCACTTAAAACTTACTATATGATAAATTAAGTTTAGTTTAAACCCATCTGTCTTTCACCTCAATCACAGCAATACATTAACAACAAAATGGCTGCCTCAACTTCTCATTCAACCCTTTCAACCTTCACAACAATAATTTTATTCCTCCTTACCTATCAATAACAGAAGATTTCATCTCACTTTGGACAAAGTATATGAGTTACATGTGTAGGAATGTACAGATAATTGCTTTTATTTAACTTCATTGTTCTAAAACAGTAGGAGAAGTACGGCCAAATCCCCAGAAGAGATTTCTCAGAATGCTTTTTTTGACCAGTACTTTGACTCTCAGGACCATCACTTTTTCTACAGCAGTTCTTCATCTGCTTTGCTTATACTTTAGAGGAACAAAGCAAATAACAGGACAGGTAGAGACTTTTCCTACAATTTGGGTTTTTTGACAGTAAAGATCTCAATTCTTCCCCCACTCCACCTCAACATGCCCCAGTAACAATCAGGGGACAGATATTAATAAATTATGGGGTATATAGTCTTTTTTTAAATGATCTATATAAAAAAGCTACAGTGATGCAACTGCAAACCACCAAAACACTAGTTCTTAGTGTAGATTTTTCAAAAGCTCTATTTCTGCAGAACTGAGCATCTAAACTAGCTCTTTAGAATTCCAATGTTCAGAGAGCTTTACGCACAAAGCTTTACAGAGATCACAACTTTCCATTTTGTACTGGAACAAGTGAGATTCCTGTTTTGTATCTGCACAGTTACTTCTCTTTACTGATTATCTTGAAGTACTCTGTACTTCTGCATGCAATCAAGAACTAAAATTTGATAAGGAACTAATGAAACAAAAATAGAACATTAATATTACAAGCCAAATATTCTAAACCACAGTAAGTGTAAAGAACAAAATCACAGGCCTTACAGGTCAAACTACCCACCAGTAAAAAAAGCATAATCTTCTACAAACCTACATATTCTGTAATAATAGTGGGTTTTCCCCACATATTTTAAGGAGTCTAACCAAGAAAAAAACAAACAAACAAACAAAAAAGAACAGTAAACTGAAAACCTACATAACATTATCTAATCAGGAAAAAAGATGCTTCCATGGTGATCTTCTTAAAAGAGAGAGCACTCATGTCTGCTGATAACAGCATTCCAGTTTAGAGCAGTTCTTAAGGCTACCCATGGCCCAAAATGAAGCTACCACTATTTATTTAATCAGAAACAGATCCAGAATCAAAGTCTACACTGGCACCGTATTAAAACTTCCATAAAAGTTAATTTAACTAATCAATGTTAAAGCCTGCTCTCTCAGCCCCGTCTGACTAAGCTATTACCTATTTGTTTTCACTTTCCTATACTGTTATACAAGTTAAAATATCAGATTAATAAAGCACCCACGTGACCTCTCAGTAACAATAAGATATGGATGAATTTCTTGCTGTTGCAGGCAGCTGGAAACTTCACATTTCATGTTAAGTCCACTCTGTAGCAATGAATATTGAGCAGCACAGGTTATTCGAGTGGAAAACTGCTGTCAGTTTTTCATTCTTACAGGACATAGACACCGTTAAGAAAATTCAGTAAGAAAAAAAATAATTCTACTTGCTTGTGCTCAGCATGCAGCACTATCTCCTCACCGCATGCCTTCCACCTCTAACACTATTTCAACACTGCAATTGCCTATCCCTGCACAAATTAGGCTACCGCATGCATGACGGGTAAGGCACAGTTGTTAATACCAGCACCACCCAGCAGCGGAAGCGGGTCACTGCTAGTAAACTGGCTAGTTAATTATCCTCCCTCACATTAAATCCTTGTAGAAAAAAAGAGTGGTTTGTACACCACAGAATGAAATGGCCGTAGTGAATTGTTATACCGGTGACCTGGCGCCAAGTTCTCCCCTCGCCTCTTTGTTTACCTTGCCTTCTCGCGTTTGGCCCAGGAGGGATCAAATGTATGAGCAAAACGAAACCTCACTAAGGCCGGCACGTGGGGCAGACAATGGCTCCGGGCAGAACCCACCGCTCCTTCACGAGGATTTTCACACCCAGAAAGCCCCTCACC